GCCCCGCCCCGCGCGGAGCCGGGCGCCGCGCGCCCTCTGGGCGACCCGGTGGCGTCTCCGCCTCGGTGTTCTGGTCTCTGCAATGGAGCGCTTAATTACCCTGCCCGCGCTGTGTGTCACGCCCCGGCCGACGTCGGCCGCCGAGTTTCCAATAGGCCTTCCAAAGTGTGTCAGCCGCGTGTGGGGCCGAAACTAGGGCTCAGGTCAGCGGCTCGCCCTAGATCGAACAGCGAATGAGGAACAGAGCGAGGACTGGAGCTTGACCCGGACTGCTCCAAAGCGTGCGTGCCCCTTTCTTCCACACCCCACTATTTCTGGCCCCCACCGTACCTGCCTTCTGCCATGGATCGCTTTGGGTTTGGCAGATGTCAGCTGGAAGTGGTGCCCACCTCCCCTTGGAGATGCACTAGGACGCACTTGCATGTGTCAGAAGGTTCTCTCGGGAGAAGGTAGGGGAGGAAGAAAGAAGATCGTTTGCGACGCGAGTGCGTTATCAAACTGGATGCTACACATCCTTTACCTGAGCACTTCTGTTCACCTCGGTTGCACCTCTGTTCACTGCTGTTCATCACAATGTCTTATAAGACGTTGTGCAGCTAACACAAACTCCCCGAACTTGCTGTACCTTGGAAGAGCTGAAGGGTGTGTGAACTCAGAGATAATCACATGCCGTGATGCCATAGTACTTGGCACACAGTTTCAATAAATGTTGGTCCTTCCTTTGTCTGGCGCGTAATATCCCTTGCTAAACTTACTTTTGTTCAGCGCCTAACATTTCCTGTGACTAGAGCAGAGGTAGAACTACCCAACCCTGCTCCCTCCTGTCCCTCCCCATCACAAGTTCATTTACAGCCATGTTGTCTGCGTGTTACCTACATGGACTGAATGATTCCCCAACCTAAAAATAGCCGGTGAAAGAAGTCACTCCAGGAGAGCTGAACATGAATTAACCTTTTGTAGAAGTGACATTTATTTGCCCATTACGTATGTGTCCTTTGGGGTCTTTCTGTGTGCTTGCTACTCTAAGGTGTACAGACTGGCAGAGGATGTAGTCTCTGCTTTTAGTTTAGAATGTTTGGGAAAATATGCATTAAATGATCCTTACAAAGTGGAATGTGAAGCATGTCAGAAAAGAGGAATTACAAGTTCTGGGGGTATTTACAAAAAAGGGATATTTCGTAGTGTTAGGTATGATTTCTGCCTTCAAGAAGATACTTTCTACATTGTACATATCTACTAAATAGTTGTTCAAAAAGTAAATTAGTGAAAAAATCTATATCATACTAGATAGAATTCCTTGGTTTCCAGTAACAAAAACTCATTAAAGTTTTATTGGAAAGACAGAAATGTGAAAAGAATCCTTTACTAGTGAATGACTAGCTCCTTCTGTCCTTGAATATCTTTCTCGAGATTCAGATTTCAGTTCGAAAAGATGTGGTTGCTTTAGTTGCTTTGGGATAGGAGTTGGAGTATTGGGATGGCAATTCAATTGAAACCATATGAAATGTGGGAGGATCTGTTTCCCAAAGGAGAAAGGAGAGATGTGATGCTGGGCAGAGAAAGCCAGCATTTGTTTAATAGAGATTTGGTTATTAAGGGCTCACAGTGGGCCAGACATCACGGCACATTATATGAGTTGTGATAATTAATCCTTAGAAAAGTTTTAGGATGTAGATCTATATCATAGCATTTTACAGAGGAGGAAATGACATAAGGGTAACGTCATTGGCTTAGCAGACAAAGTTAGTATGTAGTCAAATTGAGTGTGTTTCATTATGTTTTCTTTACCTTGTGCCTTGGAATCGTTTCCTGACCCATGTGTCACTTCTGTTCATAGGGAGGTCATCGCTCTTTGGTATATGTGTGTTGGTGACTTTGAAATCTGAAGGACCTCTGCATTGTGGATCAAAGTCTCCATCTTTGTCAATTAGGAAATGGACCGCTTAGGCTCCTTTAGCAGTAAGTACTGTGGAAACACGTCCCAGGTGAACATTAATAAACTGAAGTAGAAGTTGATCAAGGAAGAAAAATAAACACTTTGAGATTAAATAGTAGGCCTTGTGAATCTGATTATGAAGGGCAAAATAACATCAAAATAACATCAACCAGTACTTTATTGATTGCCCACTGAACATAATGGTACAAATATATCACCCTAGTACTTAAGAAAACTAAACTCAGATGAACTAGGTAAAGTATGATTAACCTGTAATAGATTTTTAAAAAGCATTTGTTCCTTATCAGAATTTCTCCCTCGAGTTAGCATCCATTGATGATTCTGGCCTGATTCAATCTTTCTATGATGGTTGCAAATTGATGTGTTTTTTTTTTTCACCCCCTAATTCAGCACTCTATATTTACTAATTAGTCCTTAGCATTCTACTGAAATCAAAAGACTTTTCTTCTGCTTATTGACATATCAGTGTGGACACACACACAATATGGACTATTTTTTAGTGTTTTAATTCACTATCATACTTAACTATTTTGGTTCTCAGAATATCCCAGTTTGACCTCTGTGAGTCTCTTCAAACTTGTTCCTTGGTCCTTGTGACATTCCTCCATCACTTTTTTTTTTTTTTTTTACCATTTCCTTAACTTTTGGCATGTCTACATGTTCCAGGTAGATTTTGTATTTCCTCTGAGCTAGCCTTGGAATCAGCCTCTTCTCTGAGGAAGGCATTCTGGTTCCTTTTAGGGAGGAATGACATTCAAAAGTACGATCTAGTCAATGCTTATTGCCCTTAGAATGACTTGCCTCTTTTGGCCCACAGGGCTAGGAAATATTTGTATATGCATGCAGTGTATAAATATATACGTACGCACACACACACACACATATGCATATTCCTGCATAATTCTTTTTAGAAACTGGATGTTCACTTTAATAGTTAATCTTCATAAACTTTTTAACTGCTTTTCCCATTGTATATTTGTATGTCCTTTTCTCAGTGAGAATCCTGGCTCCCAAAAAGATTAGCATACATACTCAGTCTTTTAATACATACAAAGTAATTATGGAATTGATTTGCATATACCACTTTTGAAAAATGATCTATTTCAGCAAGTGCAAGATTTATTTGTTGTTATCTCCTGTACTACCCAAAACTGAAAGTATGCTGTTACATATTTATAAGTTGTTTGAATTGGCTATTTTATTTTCTCTTCTTTGTGTGGTATTAGTATTCTTTTGAAATACTGTTGGATTCATCTCTCACATTCTATTTTGTTTTTCCTTCCTACACTGTATTAATTTTTTAATTTGTAGATCATAAACATGCTTTCAAAATCAAGACTACACAAAAAGATGTATTTGGAGAGTTTTCACTTTTTCTTATATGTCTTCCACTTCATTCCATTTCCCATTCCCTTGTAAGCATCCCGCTCCTTTGTTTTCTAGTTTTTCTATCTTGTGTTTCTTTTTGCAAAGATAGGCAAGATAGCATGGTTTTGTTTTTTCTTTGTTTTTTCTTAGAAAAGATTGAATACTATATGAATATACTCTTTTGCACTTTGGCTTTTGATGTTTATTTTCATTTAACATTATCTTATCTCCTGACAATACTGTGTTAGTTTATGGAGATTAGCCTTACTCCTTTTTGTAGTTGCATAATACTCCATCGTGTGGATGTACCACAGTTTATTAAACAACTTTATAGTGCTTGGACACCTTACATAGTGCTTTGCAACTACATTTGATGTTATGATGCATTACCTTGACATATGTGTTTTGTGTTCTTGGAGATGCATATTAAAGGTAAATTCCTGGGTGTGGGATTGCTAGATCAAAAGATAAATGTATGCAGAGTTTTATTTAGATATTGTTTAATGACCCTCTGTAGGAGTTGTGCCATTTTGTATTACGGTCAGCAATATATGAAAATGACTATTTCCCCACAGCCTTAGTAAGAAAAGTATATTATCAAGCTTTTGATTTGGTAATTGGATGGGTGAGAAGTTATAGCCAGAGTAGATTGCTCCTTATTATGAGTGAAGTTGAGTGCCTTTTCATATGTGTAAAGGTCATTTTTTAATCTTTTTTCCCCCTAATTCACGTCTTACAACAGGATTTTTGGCCCCCCTTTTTTTCCTGTCAAGTTCTTTATATATTAGAGATTTTAGTCTTTCGCCTGACATGTTTGCAAATATTTTCTTCCTGTAGTTTTATTTTTTTTTTTTTACCAAGAAAGTTATTTTGTTTATGCAATCAGATTTATTAACCCTTTAATGCCTCTGGGTTTAGAATGATGATTTTAAAAAGTGTTTTTTATTAAGATATAGAAAAGTTGTGAAATACCTTTTTGAAGGACAGTCTTACTATATATCAAAAGGCTCCAAAAACCTCCATAACTGTATTTACCCCCCTCATTCTCAGAACTTATGTATCCTGAGGAACAAAATGTGAAAAAGGTACATATGCAAAGGTTGACCTCAGCTTTCTTTATAATAGGATAAATTGGAACAACATAAATGCCCACCAGTAGAGAACTGGTTGTATTATGGTTACATGTGTATGTAACATACATACATACATATATATATCATCAACTTTATGATTGGGATCAAAAGTGATTTCTTTTAAAAATATTTTTAAAGCCCTTCTTGTTATTTGGAAATGAAATATAACATCTGTATCCATGATTTCAAAGAAATAGAAATACCCTAACTATAATAAAAAGGATAAATAAAGGAAAAGTAATTTATATGAAATAATACAGTTTGTAATAATCTGAATTTCTATATGTTTAGACATGATTGTAGTAGAAGACATAATCTGACATAAGGAGTCAGATGCTTGTCCCATATGCTGAGTTACTGTGTATCTTACAACTGCAGATGCAGAATGATTCAGGTGTGTTTTATTAGTGACTCAGAAATACCACAAACTTGAATGACTCCTGGTAAAGTTCCAAACAAAACAACACATAATCTCTTCAAGTACATGCAGTTGCCTTCCTGGAAATTTCAATGTATACTAAAACTATCAAAAATGTTTTGTTTTATATTTATTACAATTAGGTTCTAGGTCATGTATTTATGAGTGTCTACTTGAGTGTCTGGTCAGATACTTGCAAGCACACAGGGTTTAGGCCAGCTCTTTGTAATGTAAGAATGCATTGAGCATTGTAGAATCTCTAATGTCCCTGGGCTCTGCCTGTAAAATTCCAGTGGTATCCCCTAGTCACTGTGGCGATAAAAAAACACCTCAGATTTTCACAATGTTTTCCTAGGGTCCATTAGGTTAGATGATTAACAATTTAATTCATAAAAAGAATAAGGAAGATCTATGTGTACTATCATAAAATCGTTTTCATAATATATTATCAAGTAAAAAAAAAGTTTAAAAACTCCATGTACTATATCTCAGGTGAAATGTTGGAAATAAAAGGATGTCTCACACTTCATAATTTTCTTGCAAATGCAAAAAATTTTAAACTATAATTGGATTATTTTTACAAATCAATTTTTTAAATATTTATCAAATAATTCTTAACATAAGTTTTAATAGCTCTGTTGTCAATGGTTTTTTTTTTTGGAGCTGTGTTTGAGGGAAGAAAAATGTGCTTATATCATTAAAATAAGAGGATGTGAAAAGGGGTAATTTAGTAAAAAATTGGCCTCTAGCACTTAATATAGCACTTTTTTTTCTTCCATGTCAGAATTAAAATGGGGGAAGTAAAGTGATTGTTGTTTCTTATGTATTTTTTTAAGCTATTGCCAGAGGATTATATTTCTTTCCCCTGTCATTTTCCTCTATGTCTTTATTTAGAAACGAATAAAAAGCATTAATTACTATTTGAAGGAGGGAAAGGTACCTGGAAGAATATTTCTTGGATGTTAGACTAATTTTTACAGAATATGAAAAATCCTGCCTTAGACTACACAAATCTTGTCATCTACCTTTGAAGCCTGTGCTTTCTTAGACCCCCACGATTGATCTCAGAACTGCACTGCTAGTTCCCTGACTAGAGTGTTAGTGTTGGGGCAGCTATATTTTTATGACTTTAGAGAATTTGGATTGTACTCCTCCCCTTAACATTTCAGCGACACTACTGTCATTAGCATTAATTGGTAGAAGGTCTATGTTCTGTGTTTTCCATGTGAGAAAGGGAGGGAACTTTCCTGGGGTTTAAATCTCAATTCAGGAGCTTCTCTGCAACAAGGGGTTAAGTCTCAGCACTGTGAAGCCATCCACAGCCACTGCAGCATAGGCAGGGAGCAGGGGCCAGGGAGCACCACATGGCAGCAGCCCTCTCCTGTCTCTACTGCTGCCTTTCTCTGAGAAGCAGTGGATTTCATTAGACTCGCCTGTTCTGCTCCCTGTCTCTGGTGAGTACTCTCACCTCCTGCATCTCTGGCCTACACCCCAGTTCTTGTATGCATCAATAATTAAATTTTTAAAAATCTCAATTCAAATAAAAGCCATATAAAAGAGATTTCCCCCAGCTTCATCTTATGAAAATTGTCAAACTTACGAAAAAGTTGAAAGAACAGTAAGTTGATTATTTGTTGCCCACTTTCTATGTTCAGCCTTATCTGTAAACACACGTGTGTTGTATGGGTAGTGGTACCATTCCCCCTCCCAGAAAAGGAAGTTGCAGGTATTAGGAAAATTCCATTTAAAACTTAGTGTTTGTAAATTTCTCTTCAGGGGTCATATTTACTGAAAAGCTGTTACAAGTAGCCAGTACTGTGAAGAAAGTAACAAAGATGCCCTGAGGGAAAAGGACATACGTTTTTTTGGTTTTTATTTGGAATGAGCTTACTACCTGTGTGATCGTTTACAGATTTTCAACTTCTTGCGGTTAAAGTTATCTTAAGGGTTTTATTTTTTAACCAAGTATATTTTTCTTTTTGTTCTAGATGATCCTTCTGATAAGCCACCTTGCCGGGGCTGCTCTTCCTACCTCATGGAGCCTTATATCAAGTGTGCTGAGTGTGGACCACCTCCTTTTTTTCTCTGCTTGCAGGTAACTCTTTAGGGAGAGGTTTGCCTCTCCTAGCGTAGTTCTATGAACATAGTAAATGCAGAGATGAGTACTGACTGCTTAAAAGGACCATACTTTATTAAATCTGTTCCTTCCAATCTTCCATTACGCATTTACCAGTAAAAAGTTGGAGAATAAAGCAGATGGGTAAGATACACTGTTAAATGTTCCCCATCTCTGTGCACATCTAATGCTTAAAAATTGCCAGAATTTTAAATTGTTGGAAATATAGGAAACAGACTTGGAACATCATTCCTTTTGATGGTACCTATGACACCATTTACTGTCTTGGTGGGGAGTCATCTTTGGGCAGGTGACAAACAAGGGAACAAACTATTTTCTGGATGCTGATGGTAATAATGGTACTAATTATAATGGCCTGCTCATTGCCAAGCACTATTTTTTGAGTATTTCACATGAATTAATCCTTAAGTCATCATACAGTCCTATGGAGCATGATTAGGATCTACATTTTTTTTTTTAGTTTATTTTTACATCATTTTGTACTTTTTTTTTTTTCATCTCAATTGTAATCCCCACGGGTTTACCATCAAGGATCTACATTTTATGGAAGAAACTCAGGCAAAGTGAGAATCTGTTCAAGGTTACACAACAAATACCTTATTTCATTGGATCCGATACTCTCGGTAATGAGAAACATTGCAATTTCAGAAATAGTGAAATGTAAAAATGACTGATAAATGTTTTAACTTAATTTTTACTGTAAGATGAATCTTCATTTCCAAGTTTTAAAACATGAAATGATATGTTTTAGAATTGCTGAAATAGAGTAAATGAGCATCCAGGATACAAATTAGGCAATCTGACTCCAGGACTCATGATCTTGTCAAAGGAGTAGTTCTCCTAGGAAAAAGTCCTCCTTTTTTCACATTGTTGTTTTTTTCTTTGTGAGATGAGTTGAAAAACTGTGATCATGAATATACCATACTATTTTGGGCGCAGACAAGATTAAATGATTTCTTAAAAACTTACCACATGAGTAGGATCTCCTGCCCTCTCCCCACCACGCATCATTTTCTGTCCTTTAGAAGAAAGTATCTCAAGGGCCCTCCCTGGTGGTGCAAGGGTTAACGTTTCAGCAGTATCAAGCTGTTGCCCCTGGGAGCTGACGAACTGTGGCTACCTGCTGTAGACCTCTCCCTGCCTTGCTGGGTGCTCCCCTTAGCAGTGTATTTCAGTAGATCTGCCTGTTTTGTTCTCCACTCTGTCTCTGGTGAATCTTCTCACTCCCCTTTCCAATCTATACCCCAGTTCTTTTATGCATAAATAAATTAAAAAAAATAAATCTTAAAATGAAAAGATGACATTTCAAGAAGTGTTTTTGGTAACTTAATTTTCTTTTCTTTCACAGTGCTTCACTCGTGGATTTGAGTACAAGAAGCATCAAAGTGATCATACTTATGAAATAATGGTAATGATAAAGTTACAGGGAAATTATATTCATTTTCCAGTTATTATTCTGAGAATTCATTTTTTTTCTGTCTCCACCTATCTCTTCCTTCTCTTCTGATTTAGGTAATTACTACTCAATAAGGTTTTTTTTTTTTTTAAGTTTTATGGGTCCATTAAGGCACTTAAATCCTGCAGTCATATATTCTGGGGTTTTTTTTGTTTCAAAGCTTGAATTTAAGGAAGGTGTTTTTGACATTTATTGACATCAGGGTAAGAAGTATGTTGCTTTTTAGGTTCACTGAGAAACATCGTAAATGTGTCACCACTATTTTAGCTAATGATATTTTTATGTGGTTCATGTGGGCAGTTCCTATCTGACACTCCATCCTCCTGCCTTTGGGGAAATGAGTTACTCTGTAAGAATTAAGTTAAAAATAAATGCAGAGTAAATGACATAATACATAAAGTCACTTTGAAGAGACAGACTGGATTTATAAGCCAGAATGGATTTGGTTACACTTTGATTGATTGTATTGCTCACTGTAAAGAAGAATGAGAGGTAGATGATGATAGTGTCTATCCAGGCTTCCATAACAAATTGCCAAAAAATTAGTGACTTGAGACAGAACATACTTACCATCTTATAATTCTGTATGTCAGAGGACCTTTGTTAAGTGCAGCTTGTTTACTGTAGGTCTCATGAGGTTGAAATTAAAGTTTTAGCTAGCCTGAGCTTGAATCTGGAAAGCAGCAAGAATCCACTTCCAAGCTCATTCAGGTTGTTGACGGAATTCACTGTGTTGAGGCTGTTTCCTTATTAGCTTTTAGCCAGGGCTTGCTCTCTGTCTCCAGAGATGCCTGGTCCGCTTTTTCCTTGTCCAAAGCCAGCGAAAGTAGGGAGTTCTTGCGGGTCACTGAGGAAACGCTTGGGGTCTCTTGATTCTCCTGCTGCCTATTTCTTACTCACTGAATCTCTGACTCTCCTACCTTAAGTAATCCTCTTCTCTTCTATTCTTCAAGACCCATGTGATTATATTGGTTCCACCAGGATAATCCTACATTCCCCATTTGAAAGTCAATTGATTAGTAATCCCATCAACAGAGTTAACTTCACAACAAATCTGGTTAGTTTGAATAATTCTGAGGGAGCAGTCTTGGTGGGAGAGGGATCATCTTTAGAATTCTGCCTACCACACCTCTGTAGTGTGTGTTCAGTCTTAAAAGTTTAGAAAGAGTGAATCAGCATCTCTGAGTCAGATATTTTTGTGGATCATATTGACATGAGTTTCTAGGCCTCTAATGCTGAGAGTCAGAGTCTGGTCAGTGTTAATCAACACAATGCTACTTAATATCATTTCTTGCCAGAGAACTGCCTTCCTTTCCCCTGTGTCTCTAAACACCTTCTGTCTTCCAAGTTGCTTCTTTACTGATTATGAGACTTGAAATAAATTCTTTTATATTAGACTTTATTTTTTAGAGCAAACATAGGTTTATAACAAAATTGAGTAGAATTGTACAGAGATTTCCCATGTGTCTTCCGCCCCATCATGAACAACCCACGTCAGAGTGGTAACATTTGTTATCATTGATGAACCTTCATTGACACCCTATACCCAAAGTCTGTTGTTTAGTGTTCTCTCTAAGTATTGTATATTCTGTGGGTTTGTACAAATACATTAACACGGGTACCCTCCATCAGGTGAAGGTACTCTTATGGACCTGGGAATCCTCTGTGCTCTTAATCCGTGCTTCCTCCTAACCCTGGCAACTGATCTTTTTATAATCTCCAGAGTTTTGCCTTTTCTAGGTGTCATGTCATCGGAATCATATAGTGTGTAACCTTTTCAGATTGACTTCCTTCACCAGTAACTTCCTTCATGTGTTTTCATGTTTTAATAGCTCATTTCTTTTTGCTGAATAATCTTCCATTGTCTGGATGTATCACAGTTTGTTTATTCATCTACAGAAGGATACCTTCGTTACTCCCAAGTTTTGACAATTAATAAATTTCTGTAAACACCCGTGTGTAGGTTTTTGTGTGCATATATGCTCTCAGCTCCTTTGGGTAAATACCAAGGAACCTGATTATGTAGCACATGGGAAGAGGATGTCTGGGTTTATAATAAGCTGCCAAGCTGTCTTCCAAAATGACTGTACATTTTGCATTCCCACCAGCAGTGACTGAGAGTTCCTGTTGTTCCACATCCTCACCAGCTTTTGGTGTTGTCAGCATTCTGGAATTTGGCCATTCTAATAGGTGTCCTGTATTGCTTTAATTAGCATTTCTCTGATAATATGTATAATATAAAAAGTGTAGCACATCTTTTAATAGGAATAGTCCCCCCTTGTTAATTGCAGAAGTGGATTATGTAGCACTCTAGGTCCATGTATTCTTTTGATTACATCATCCTTCCCCCCCACACATATCAGCACATGTATAAACACACTTCAGAATTCTGTCCTTCACTTTGAAAACTTTTGGCAATTACAAATACTCTCCTTTTTGGGTCAGCCTTACCTGTTTTTGGTGAATTTTTCTGTAGGAGTCATGACTACATTTTGGTTTTCTACAAATGAAGCCATTAACATGATTTTTTTTTCTTTTTTGCATGTGAAGCCTCAGAAACTTAAAATGGCTCTTATTACTTTGTCATCTCACAGTGCTTTATTTTGGGGAGTTACTCATGCTGTGGTGGGTGGTACGTTAATCAAGATTTCTGAGTTCTGTGCTTATTTTTATCTTGTAATTCTTAGAACTTGAACAAGTCAAGGCGTCTCTTTTCTTGCCACACCCTTTATACCAGCAGTCCTTCACTTTACCATGTAAAATCACCTGTGAGCTTCTTAAAACACCAGGTTTTTCTAGACCCTGCCTGTTAGAGTTACTGGTTCAGTGTGGCTGAGATTCAGTACAGGAAATGTGTAATATTGGTTCAACTTTAAGAAAAACTAGAGACAGAATAGGCCCATTTGTTTTTTAGTATAGAAAGTTTTATTTTAAGGTTTATTTGTTTATGCATACAAGAACTGGGATACAGGATGGAGGTGTTGGGAGTGAGAAGATTCACCAGAGACAGAGTGGGGAACAGAACAGATAGATCTACTGAAATACACTGCTGAGGGGAGCAGCTGGCGAGACAGGAGAGGTCTGCTGCGCCATGTGGTCTGCTCCCCGGCCAGCTGGGGATCAAACTCATGTTGCAGTGGCTGCAGACAGCCTCACAGTGTTGCATTTTAATCCTTTGTGCCACCAAGGAAGGTCCCCCCCCCCTTTTTAAGTAAAATTGGTGATGGCTAATTAATTTTCTAAAATACAGTTTTAGGTATAGCAGATTCTTAAGCTGTGTGTTGTCATTTTTACATGTATAAGCTGCAGTGATACTTGCTAGATTGAGTGATTGTTATGAACTTCGTATGAACAGATTCTGAAATACTTTTCTTGATGGCATAGTAACTCATGTGTTAAGCATTTTCATAGTACATGCTCATACAAAAATGTATCGCTAAGTGGGAGAGTAACATCACAAAGTTTTTTTTTTCATTAACTAGAGATATATTTTCTTTTTAAAGATTTGTATTTATTTATGCAAACAGAACTGGGGTACAGGCCAGAGGTTCTGGGGCAGTGAGGGGCTTCACCAGAGACAGAGTGGGGAGCAGAACAGGCAGATCACGAAGTACACTGCTAAGGGGAGCAGCAGGCATGTCAGAAGTCTGCTGCACCATGTGGATCTCTGGGGCAGGGATTAAACTCATGCTGAAGTGGCTTTCACTTCTTAGTGCTGTGCTTAGTGCTGCGCCACCAGGGAGGGCTGAAATGTATTTTCTAAATGCCTATATAATCAGAAGACCTCTGTGTTACTTTTTTTTAAAACTCATTATAGAAAATTTCAAACATACACTAATGTAGAAAGAATGGCACTTCAATTATCTCTTGCTTCCTGACAGCTACATCAAAACTTCATGATACAAAATAATAATTATTTTGTGTTTTGTAGGTCAGGATTCGCATTGGGCATGGCAAGGGTGGTTTCGGTTCCATATGATGTACTGGGGATGGAAATCCAAAGGATTTCTTTCAAACACACCTTGGGCAACTTCAGGATGGCCTAAGTTTGTAGGGAGTTAGCTAGAACATCTTAACTGCCTGAGATCTTAGTTCTTTTTCAGGTAGAGAGCTTATTTCCTTTACCCCCATAACCGTTCATCTCCTCTCACCTCTCTCTGGCTTTCCTACAAGGAGGCTAGATTCCTTCCATGGTCCCTGAGGGCTCTCGAGGGTGCAAAAAGTAGAAACTGCTAGACTTTAAAACAAGCCACAGTGACCAGCCCATATTAATGAGAAGCAACCACACCTGAATGTGAGTTCTGGAACTTCAGGGAGCCACCGTTGTGATCAACTGCCATGGCTAATGTAATAAATTCCTACTTACCTGTCTTTAGCTCTTAAAATTATCAGCATAAGTCCTGTTCCATTGAATCCTCCACTCTTAGTTATTTTGAAGAAAATCCCCCCACATCATTTCATTTATAAATATTTTGCAAAATACTTCTAAAATTAAAGATAATTTTAGTCACTTTTTACATTTTATCAGTCATCTCATAAATGCTGTTTTTAAACTTACTCCTTCAGACCTGAAATAATCATTCATAATTTATCACCGCAGATTAGTTTTACATATTCTAGAACTGCATATAGATGGATTCATACTGTATATATTTTTGGTTCTGATTTTATTCATTCAGCATTTTTTGTGATGTTTTTATTCCTGTATAGTACATTTTTGTTATGATATCCACTATATGAATATAATACTGTATGTTTGTTATTCTGTTGATAAACTCTACTAGTTTTAAGTTGTTACAAATAATGCTGCTATGAACATTTTTGTAGAAGGCTTTCTCTAGGTACACATATATTTCCTGTAAAATTGGTAATTACATGTATTGACTACCACAGCTTCATTTATAATCATTGTCTAGATCTTTTAATTTATTGGGTATTACAATATATCTTTTATTTTTGTCATTCCTTTCAGTTGATGAGTTAAAAGAACTTATAAAATAAAGAAACCATTAAGTAGTTGCCCCAAAATAAAATGTGGAGAAGGAACGCACATTTTTGAAAATGAGTTGATTACTTAGCATCCTTGAGATTTTAGAATATTTGTTGTGTTTCAATTCTCTGCAGTTGTTCTTGCTCAAATTGCTGCATTTTTTGGTTAATGGGAACCTCTACAAATTGCCCTTTAAATCCTTTAGACGTGACCCATACAATCTTTAAAAGATTCATTGCTTTCTCATAGGACAAAATGTTCCTCTCTTCTTGTGTACATATTTTTTTAGGATTTATTTATGAATACAAGGTATAGGTCAGTGGTGTGGGGGGAGGGGGAAGAGGCTTTATCAGAGACAGTGGGGAGCAGAACAGGCAGCTTGACTGAAATACACTGCTGAGGGGAGCAAGCGGTGAGACAGGAGAGGTCTGCTGTGCCATATGGGTCACCTCCCTGGCTGGGGATAGCTTTATAGTGCTGAGATGTAACTCCTTGAACCATCACGGAGTCCCATCATCTTGTATATTTCTTGATCCAAATGTGGCATTTTGTTCAGGGAGCCCTGCTTTCCTTAGTGGGAAATCACATTTATAGATCGTATACTGGGCACTTTGAAATTTTCACTGCTACTTGTTGGTCAGTGTTTCTAAATCTTTTCAGTGAACAGTGTTGGGAAATTATTATTTTAAGAGAGAATATGTCATCAGTTCACGTTAAAACTTTCTGTTCAAATACAAGACCACAAGGTTTTTACATAACCTTATGGCTTATGTCTGTATCTTTCCGCCCGTAAGCCCAGAAGCCCACTACCAGGACATCAGCACCATCGCCCCTTGCTTTGCCCCAGCACATCCGTGTCAGTAGTCTCAGGATTACTATGCCAACAACACAACTGAAAACTTGTGCCATTTTGTAGCACTTCCTTTTACTGCTGTGGTATAATCTACTAGAGGTCTATAGTCAAATGACTGTGTTTTAAAGTCACTTTGAATAACTTTTTTCTGTGTGATTATGCCATAATATTAAGTCATAGGTTTTACTTGTTATGTTTTTGTTTTTGATTCTTAGGGTGTTAAAATTTAATAATTATGTATAAGATATATGTTTTCAAAATCAAATCTTTAAAACAGGGACTTTTCAGAAAGATCCAGCTTCTATTCCTGTCCTTCCCTCACCCTTTATAGATAACATTTTTAAAATAAATGACTTATTCTATTTAAAATATATAAATATACATGGTATTTTCCCTCTTTCATAGGTAAATGGGGATATTATAAAATTTATCTTTGCCTTTGTGCTAAGTTTTAAAAAAAAAAATACATGTGTCCACATGGGTTACAGGGTGTATGGGTGATAAAAACTTGTTGGAGACCCTTTTACCTAAAGGTGGAAATAGGGGCAGGGGAGGTGGATGACTGGTAAGAAATAATGTTAGCAACCTCTCAGTACTATGAGAATGACAGTCATTAGATTGTCGGGTGCTACTACAATTGCATTACTGGGTTCCATTCCTCTATCTGTTCCTCCCTAGACATCAGATTTTCCTGTTCTTGATCCCAGCTGGACAGCCCAAGAAGAAATGGCCCTTTTAGAAGCTGTGATGGACTGTGGCTTTGGAAATTGGTAGGTGCTCTGTGTAACAGATTGTCCTGCCCAGGTGAGCTTAGAGGAAAAGCTGCAGTTGATGGGTAAAGGGAGAGAGTCTTGGGGACCATATTGCTTCCCATTAAGTCATTCCCATGACTTAGGGACAAGTTTTCTTCCCCCCCCCCTCCCTTTTCTGAATAGTGGGAAAGTTTAGACTTTGTTATTGCTCCTTTATGACTTGATGAGTTTTTCTTGGCTTTGCTGCACTCATTTACCTGAGTCATATTTTAGGTAAGATGGCCATAACTTACCTAAGATTTAAGTTTGATGGACTGCTTGTTCACATTCTCTGTTTTTAGCTTGAGTAAGCTTTTAAATCTTTTTGGGCCTTATTTTGTCATCTGTGAAGCAGAGTAAATATACTATGAGATTTCATTAAGACTAAATTAGGGGTTTCTAACTTAATGCTTGGCCTGTCATAGACACTCTAATAAAAATGTTTCTTAAAAAAAAAAAATGCTTTTTCATATGAAATGTTTTGTGATCTACGAACCATGCAATGTAGAACTATACTATGCACATTTTCAGTGTTTTGAAATGGCTTACTATTTGTAGCAATTCTTCCTTGGGGTCTAGCTTATAGGGAACTTTATAGATTTTCTAATGATCTTCCTTTTGGTGTGAAGGAAAAGCGCCTTTTAGATATTGTTTCTATATTTTGGAATAGCAGGATTTATAAAATCAGATTATATAATGTGATTCACTATTCACTTTATAGGTATCTATTCACTATTCACTTTAGAAGTATCAAGTTCCAGACACTATATGGGTAGGGCTTAAAATATTAGAAAACAAACCATGCTTTGACTGTAGGGATAAATTAAACCTGCTTCCTTCTCTTTTTCCTCACACTCCTGTAGGCAAGATGTTGCCAATCAGATGTGCACCAAGACCAAGGAGGAGTGTGAGAAGCACTATATGAAGCATTTTATCAATAACCCTCTGTTTGCGTCTACCCTACTGAACCTGAAGCAAGCAGAGGAGGCAAAAACTGCCGACACAGCCATTCCATTTCACTGTAAGTGACTCCCTGTTTTGGTAAGAGACACTAGCTTGTCCTTGAATCCTGTTGTAGATAAACAGTGGTTTGATGATTTTGGCAACTAAATAGCTTTTGGAAGATAGGAGGAGTTGGCGTGACAGGGCCATAAGAGGCAAGAAGGGCAGGTGTACTCCAATTCGGTCCTGGATGCCAGGGTGCATGGAGCCACTGCACAGCTCTGCTTGCTCTGAGGCTCTCTAACTTACCCGTTCAATTTAATGCTAGCTTCTGTAAGAAGTCTAAATGTGTAAGATGTCTAAAGTGAAGCAACTTTTCCGTGCTGTTGTAAGTGTAAGCCTTTTTACGATTCCTTTGGAGAGTTTATGATTGTAGATAGGTATACACTGTAGATTATATGTGATTAATTACTTAAGAATTCAATATTTGCTTCATCATTATTAATCATCCTGGTGCTAAGTCCAAGAAGCAATTTGTCATTTTTGTTCTCTTGGCTGTGAGAACTTTAGAAAAAATCTTATAGGGGTGAGGGACTCTTGGGTATTCTAACAAAACCATGATGAATTATAAATGAACATCTTTGCTAAATGACTCCCAGAGTATAAGTAATGAGATATGAATGCTTTCCCTTCCCCCACCCCCTTTTTCATACTCTCCAGAAACAGTTTCATAGCTGACTAACTCAAAGCCTGATGATACCTCTTATTTGGATAATACTTGGATATTACTACTTTGTTTTCAACTCCATTAAGCCATTTGTTCCTCATAGCAATCCCATGAGCTGGATGAATAAGAGCCTTTGTTTTACCCAGGAAAAAACTGAGATTCAGAAAGGTTATATAATTTGTGCCAGGTCATAGGATGAGTATGTATAACAGCTGGGACTCAAGTCCAGCTAACTTCCAAGTCTAATGTTTTTCTGTGTTTCTCAGTTGGATGAGGTTTGTAAGTTGAGATTGGTTCTAAGAGATAAGGAACTTGAAGCATACAGGGTAAATACCTTCTCTAATGTTAAAAGATCCTTGTTTTTTCTCATGTTAGGGATTTTCTGTGTATTTATTTATTATATTTTTAGTTTTTTTACATCATTCTTCATTTTGTGCATTTTCTTCATCTCAGTTGTAGTCCCCATGGGCTACCCACCACCAGTTTACCCGTGTGCCATCACCACAGTCCAGTGCACTCTTCCCACCCCAGTTCCGATCCCATTCCCCCTCCCACTCCCATAAAATGTCTCTGGCTTATAGTTGTTCATTGTTTTCATTTTTACTCTATTACATTTGTTTGTTTTCTTCCCCCCACCCAACCCCTTATGCTCCTGCTATGCATGAAACCATCTGGTATTTTTCTTTTCCTCCATGGCTTATTTCACTAGCATGATCCCTTCCAGCTTCATCCATGTTGCTCAAAAGGCATGAGTTTATCTTTTGATTGCTGAGTAATATCCCATTGTATATATGTACCACATCTTTTAATTCAGTCTTCTGTTTTTGGGCATTTGGGTTTCCACATCTTCCCTGTTATAAACAGAGCAGCAGTAAACGTTGGGGTGCAGGTGTCCTTTTGAATCAATGTTTTTGTGTCTTTTGGGTATATACCTAGGAGTGGGATTGCTGGGTCATATGGAAGCTCTATTTTTAGGCTTTTGAGAAAACTCCAAACAGCATTCCATAGTGGTTGTTTTATTTACTTATGCATATAAGAGCTGGGGTATAGGCCAGTGGTGGGGAGTATGAGAAGATTCACCAGAGACGGAGTAGGGAGCAGAACACTGTTGATTGGAGCAACAGGGAAGATGGGTGAGGTCTGCTGTGCCACGTGGGTCAGCTCCCTGGTCAGGTATTGAACTTGTGCTGCAGTGGCTATGGATAGCTTCATAGAGCTTAGACTTAACCGCTAGCACTACCAAGGAGACCCTTTCCCTGTAATTAAATGATTCCCTAAATCTTAGATTGCCTGAATCTTTCCTTTTTAGGAAATCAATCAGTTTCTATAATACTTTATCCCTTTCCCCTTTATAAAATTTTTTAAAATTTGGATCATGATCACTTTATTCTGCATATTCATAATATAGTCCCACCTCCAAAATAATGTAATGTAAAATATACTGGGAATGGAATTTTTTTTTTTGAGACAGTGTTTTAAAAATCATTTGAATTCTGGGCTCCCCCACCCTGGTGGCTCAGGAGTTAAAAACATAGTGCTATGAAGCTATTGGCAGCCATTGCAACATGAGTTCCATCCCTAGTCAGGGAGCTGACCCACAAGGCACAGCAGACCTCCCCTGTCTGGTCTGCTGCTCCTCTCAGCCATGTATTTCAGTCCATCTGCCTCTTCTGCTTCCCCCTCTCTCTGGTGAATCCTCTCACCCGCGCCTCCTGCAGTGCACCTCTGGCCTACACCCCAGTTCTTTTATGCATAAATAAATAACTTAAAAACAAAACTTCTGAATTCTACTTATTATCTCAGATAGTGTCTTTCTCCAGGAATATTTCATAGTATAGATGTGAACTATGTCTTTGTCACTTTTTCATGCCATTATTTATTTGTTAACGAAGAAAAATTCTAAATTCTTTCAGCTACAGAGGACCCTCCCCGACCTACCTTTGACTCTCTGCTTTCTCGAGATATGGCAGGATACATGCCAGCTCGAGCAGATTTCATTGAGGTAGGAGAAAGTTGCTTTTGTTTCTGATGAAGCTTTTATCTCTTACCCAAAGGTTCCAAATCACTAAAACAGATTTTTCAAGGCTCCATAATTTGTGGACTAGTGACAGACACATTTTCTTGCATTTGAGTACATTTTCTCATTCATAAATATTTTCACATATAAAACACTAACAGCCCTTCAGACCAAGAATCCACTTTAAATTGCATTGGTGTTGGCATCTATGTCCTTTATAGGTTTGGGGTTTCTAGTCTGGTTCTTTCCCCAGAAGTAGGGGGATTTAAAGTTGTATTGGGCCTTCAAGACTGGAACTTTTTCTATTAAGGTTCAATAGTAAATTTTTTTTTTAAGCTTTACAGGCCCGAAAGTCTGTTACAGATAAACTGCCATTATTATGCAAAAGCAACATACATAGTCATAACAAATGAGTATGCCTGTGTTCCAATGAGAGTTTATGTATGAAAAAAGAAAGTGGACTGAATTTGGTCTATAGGCTCTTGTTTGCTGATCCCTGTACTCTATCCACAAGTATATAAAGGATAATAAATGTTTATAGAAATTTCATGTTCCTTATTCAGCCATGAACTTAAAAGCCATGGGAATATAATCATGAGTCCTGATACATCCTCTAACCCACAACTACAGTGCTCCTGGAATTTGAAAGTTAAGCAGATGACACAAATTTTGCTAGTTACACCCAGGTCAGCAGTCTGTTCATGGCAGGTGCTGCTGCAGGTGCCACCCCTCAGAACTGTGCTTATTGAGTAGGACATGCACAGATCTACCCATTGACCTGTATAAGTAATATTTCTGAATAAATAATGCTCTCAGAAGATAATAAAATGATAGGTAAATTAATGCAGACAATTTTCTTGCCTAGATACTTGAAGGCCTAGTCAGAGTTAATTTTTTCAGGTTAGATTTTATGAACATACTAAATATAATTTTAGAACAATTATTTTGACTTCATTCCTGAACTGTGATTATTCTCATTTTTTGCTGTTACTACTGCCTGAAAACCTCTCAAGTTTTTTACATGACTTATTACTAGTGGCAGTATCCTGGCCTTATTACCCCATTGCTTATTTTTTTTTAATATATATAATAGTTTATTTTTACATTACTTTGTGCCTTTTTGTAATCCCGTGGGCTTCCCATCACCAAATCACCTGTGTGCCATCAACATAGTCCAGTGCATTTCCCTCAAACTCCCCCCCCCCCCCCCATTTTGATCCTATTCCACCCCCGTAAAATGTTTCTGGTATAAAAAAAAGTCTCTGAAAATAACAAAAATAATGAACAACCATATACCAGAGACATGTTGTGGGGGTGGAGTGGGGAATGGGATCAAAAACAGGGGGGTGGGGAAGGGAGGGAAATGCACGGGACTATAGTGGTGGCACACGGGTGATTTGGTGATGGGAAACCCGCGGGGATTACAATCGAGATGGGAAAAAAAAATGTGCAAAATGATGTAAAAATAAACTTTTGTAATAAAAAAAAAAAGTCTCTGGTATATAGTTGTTCATTATTATTATTATTTTCTCCCCTGGTTCTTTATACTCCTGCTATGAGTGAAACCATCTGGTATTTTTCCTTTTCTTTCTGGCTTATTTTACAACCATTGTTTATTTTTTTAATCAATTATTTGTATGTTTCCTTTTTGTTTTTAAAGCTTGATTGTTATAAAAGCATTGCTCAAAGTTGATAGTTTTGTGGTGCGAATTTTTTTCCCCTCAAACAGGAGTTTGACAATTATGCAGAATGGGACTTGAGAGACATCGATTTTGTTGAAGATGACTCGGACATTTTACATGGTAATATTTTAATTTGGCGAATGTTTTATTGAGTGAAAATTATGTAAAGACACTGTACTGGGTGTTCAGAATACAAAGACGAATAAAAAACATTTCCTGCCTTATGGGACTCAAAATCTTCTGGTTGGATTACTGAACTTAACCCAATTGCTGGGTTAATAAGCCCTGTGAAAATGGTTAATCAAAAATATATTTTGTAAAAAATTAAATAAATAAAATGTACTTTGTGATGACGGTAAGAATGTTGAACATATTGTGATGGTGGAGAATATCTTATCCCTTGAACTGTGTGTTCTGCCTTTTGGCCCTGGTTAACCCTATAGTGAGGTAATGATGAAGTCTCCTCTTTAGAAGGAAGGGAACTTTGGGACTTCAATAGCAAGTATTGATACTAGATATTTACCCCAAATTTTCCATAGCAGGGATCATGAATGGAAGTTTATCAGGGTTTAGAACAAAATTGGAATTTCATGTTTCTCACAACTCTGGCATTTTTAGCACTTTGAATTCTCATCTAATAAGATGGGCCTTTTATGGATTGATGTTGACTCTCTTGTAACTTGGTGGTTAATGCCACAAGTCTTTTAAAAGTGGATGATTAGACTTTCATTGACTCTCTTTCTACCTATACATTTTCATTGAATATTTATAATAATGCCCAGTCTTTTCGTTTATTTTGCTGTAATAACACACACTAGATAATCTAATTCTCCCTTGGATTCTGCAGTCCCCAAAAGTGTCTTCATTGTTTCTCTTAGAGCTTTATTCCATGCAGAAGGGCAGGTGGAATCTTCATTGAATAGTAAGTTCAGTTTTTGTGTTGCTTTAACAGGTTCTCACTAGAAGGCGAATTTGATTCTCCTCTCTGTAGAAGTACTACCTGGGCATTTGGCATACCAGATTGAAAGAGCCCCCATGAAAGTTTACCTTCAGAATTTTTTCTCTATGTCTTTCCTGAGCAGCTTTCTTTGCAAATTTCATTCCTCTTCTTTTCGCCCACACAACTTTAAGGAAAGTCAGAGTGACGTAGGTTGAACTAAAAGAGGAAAGCTTGATAGCAAACTACTTTAGCATTCACTAGATCTATTGTCTTTGTTCAGTCTTTCTTGTCAATCTCTAGTTTCAACTCTAATAACCCATGCCATTCTCTCTCACCTCATGTTGTTCCCCTGGAAATAGTGTGCAGGTTGCCACTTAGTATTTCTCCTCATGCGTACCATTCATACATATTTATTTTAATAAAATGTTTTTGTTTCCTGGCTTTTATCCTTCTTACCCAGAATACAAAAAGAGCAGCTTCATAATATCATCCTTTTAGATACTGTTAAAAACACCAAACTTTCCAAAGTTAGAATCTTTAATGTCAATAATGGCTCAACTGTGTAAGTGACTTGCTGAATCACTTCTCTAGCCCTAACCCAAGGTCTTTCTTTAGCCTCAACATTAAGGAAACTGTGGTTATGCTTGCTATTTCACTCATTCTTTGTAGGGTCAAGATTTGCAATTTCTTGTGGTGTACTTTTGGTGGGAACAAAAGGGAAAAACTGAAAGAGTAATTGTTGTGTTAGCATTTCAAACCTACTTCAGTTATTTATGCTCTTCCTGTAGTTTCTGCTGCCTTGTAAGTCACTTGGTTATTTCTACTGCCTTGTAAGTCGCTAGTTTATTTGAACTAGAACTTGAGGCATCAGTTGATTGTTATAAGTTATTTGACAGGATATAAATAATCCCTTCCTTCCCTTTTGCGCTATGTGTAGTAGTGAACTATAAGGTGATAAGAGGGGTGCTTTTTAAAAGGTAAGGTCATTTAAAGATTTGAGAGCACTAGACATCAGGGGAATGACTTTCTGGCACCACCAAGAGTTGCTTTGTTTATGCCGCTGATTTCTTACAATAGCTCTTCTAATAGCATGACCTAGTGTCCTTGTGGGTATATTTTGCCAGAGTGGCTTATCCGAGAATATTCGATCAAGGGGACTAGATCCCAGGGGGAAATAAAGACTGCAAAGGAGCTGTCTAAGCACATCTAGGATAGAGAGAGGGGCAGTCAGGCTTGCTTCTGAGTCACTGTGATCTTGGGCAAGTCCTTGGAATCTTGTTGCTTGCTGTTTCTTTATGTTCCTTGCCAGTAAAGAAGAGGTGACACTGATTAGTCAGAGAGTATGAATGTCTTCATGAAAGATGGTACATAATTCAGATCAGTGTTATTACCATTCCATTATACCATTACACCCTTAACTTACTGAACATTAACAACATTCCTTTTATGTTCCCTCACTTCTAACAACTAGAAGGAAACCAGGTGTTTGGCTGGGTTTTACCTTCCACTTCACAACACCAGAAAGAGTGGCTGGTGCCATCAAGCCCTTTCCTCACCTAAAGACTTTTGCTTTAATTCATGGAATTTGTCTAGTAAAATGGGCTCTGTAATAGAGGCCTGGGGCACAATGAAGGCATAATTAATTGGGCCAGAAGGTATTCAGAATGGCCCCCATAAAATGACACCACATCTGAAGCAATGTCTTAGAAAGAAATAAGGAAATTCTGGGATCTTTAAATGACACCTGCTCATATTTTACTGAAATAAGCAGCAGTGGTGATTTAGAAAGAGAGAGGCAGAAGACTCCCAACTTGATACCCTGCTGTGTTGTGGGATCTTAGTACAGGTGCAAGGTGAAGCTCCTATTTCCTATGGGACTTCTCCCCATCTTCTTTCATGTGGGAAAATCTCTCCTAAATCTGTGAACTCTTCTTCCTACATGTTAGGTCTGTGTGGGTGTTTTTGTCGGGAATGTGCATTAGAACAGTTTACTTTCCATCTATTTAGAAAGTTAATTTCAGTAAAATTTCTTGGCCAGGCATGGGTTACCCTTTCCCACACTCCTTGGTTCATACCATTAGCCTTTAGAGCCTTTAAGAGTTCGTAGATGAGAGGCCCAGCTTGGTCTGTGTGCACACACCTACTCAGCTTCATGTTGGTAGTGTCCTTCCCTTTATAATGACATGGTTGTTACATGCTGAAGACGTGTTAGACATAAAAGCCATTAATAATAGCTGATACATACACCACTTACAGTTTGCCAGGTACTATTCTATATCCTTCAGGCCTCCGAATTTTTTTTATTCTCTCACAACTCTGAGTTGGGCATTATTATTATTATCCTCATTTTGTAGATGAGGAAATTGAAGAATGAAAATGTCAAGTAACGTGACTGAACTTACATTGCCTTCACATGGCAAAGGCATCTCCAGAGTGTGTGTTCTTAATGCAGTCTTTACAACATTAAAGTTTTGTTACTGGTTTGTTTTTTGTGTTGGTAAGATTTCATAGTTGTCTTGTATAAATTAATCACTTTCCTTGGAATAGATATTTTCCCATTTTACATTCAGGGAGGGTGCACAAAAGAGTTAAGTAACTCCCCTAAGGCATCCTGTTAGGTTACATAGTCTTTTCTTCATAGAACCAATTGTTCAAATCTGGGCCAAACACTTAGGGGGAAAATGACTTCTAAAAAGCTTCAGTTCTGGGGAATACCTGAGTCACAGGTTTGTGCTGATGTGATTGCAGTGTAGGGACTTTGATTGGCTCTCCTGCATTTAAGGTCTCTGAGTTGGTTATCTTGCTAAGCAAGCAGTTAAGTGCCTTATGTCGGGAAAACAGAAACATGTTGCCAGCTATTTTAAACAATGTTAGAAATACATTGCAGTGGGAAGGAGCTGCCTCTGACTTCTTCCCACTTCTTAAAATATTTTAAAGCCACCCAATGGAAACTTTATCAGACTTCATTGTAATAAGTCTGTTCTTCCCTCAAAACTGAGATTTCAAGAGACCTTGCATCAGACCTTAGGTTATAGATAGTTTTAGTTTGTTTTTTTTCTCTGTGTTTATTTGCCCACTGTACTGGAATCTCCAGGCGCCTCAAGTGGAAAGTGAGCCAGTGATTCTTACTCTCGCGGTGTCTGCCTTCTCATTTTTGTTTTGCCTGCTGTGCTGTTGTCCTCCTGGGTTATTCATGCAGTTAGGATCTTATAATCAGTTGCTGCTATCTGAATATGCTTTATAAAGGAAAAAAATATGGCTTCAAATATGATTTATCCTCTGGGAGAATTCCAGTTCTCCTTCCATTTGCTTCAATGTATTCCTTTCCTTCCTTTTGTTCTCCAAAGCCAGTTTTGCAAGTTAATCTACTGAAATAATCAAGCAATAGAACCAGTTATCAGCAGTATTTCTTTATGGATTTGTTTTTTATAACACTCCAGTTTTTTTTCTGCTTTAATTAATTCATTCCCACACAAGTATAAGGAAACAACATGGTAAGTTGGTGTCTTAGAAAAACTACAGAAATATTTTGTCAAAATTTGTGGTAATTTCCACTGGATCGTCAGGATTTTCTTTCCTGTGGAACTCATTATTGGGAGGAGAAAGAGAGGTGGCATGGGAAGAGCACAGAGCCCCCCAAGCCTCAGTCACGGTGTTTGTTTAACCATCGTACTTCTCTCTTAAACTGGTAGCTCTGTGATTCTAATTCTGGTAAGAAACAGAATGTGCACCCACCGTAAACTCACATGTGGTCATGCCGCGTGTCTTGCCTCCTCCCCCACCACTGGCCATGCAGAGTGCACCCGTCGGCAGAGCCCCAGCCTGTCGCTCCACACAGGTGTATCGGGCCGGAGGGACTGCGTGTCAGCAGGCAGTTCTTAAATCAGGAAAGTTCGACTGTAGCAGTTCTGCTACCTGAAGAATGTTTGAAAGCCCTTGCTTCAACTAGATCTGATATTATTGAATTGTTTTCATTTTACTTTATCTGTTTGGATTTTTTTTTTTTCACTTATTCTTGTTAGAAACCTACCAAAACCAAAAATCCACAGATCAGGTACCAGCTTTTATAGAACTTAATGCTATTTTTATCTCAGACCCAAGGAATAATAAAAGTTTTCCTGGGCATTTCCTGCTAGTTGAAGTTATATTAGTATTCAGTGCTTCTAGCCCAGCATGTGGGATTTTGGATTTTCTTCCTCCTAATCTGAGATTAGAGGGCAGGTAGCAGTGAGATAGACAGTAATGAGTCAGAAGGGGTATCTGAAACTTGATACTTTTATCTTGCCAGAGCAACCATATTGACACTGCATCAGAATTGTACATTGCTCAACACTTGTTTGCTTCATGTTCTGAGGAAAGTGGTGATTCTGAGGAGACATTGTGTCCTGTTCTCTTACTTGATTGGTTCCATTTTTTTTCCCTACCCTAAAATCTAGTTTCAGCAGAAGTGTGAGTCTCAAACTGTTTGTGGGGGACCCTAGGGACTGCTGCAGGGAACAGTTGCCCGAGGCAGGGGATGGAGTAGAGATTCAGTAGCTTTAACTCACCCATTCCAATTAAGATTTTCTTTGAAAACAAGTTTTAAAAGTACAATATATAAATCTGTGCTGACTCATTATTCCCATGGGAAAAACTTGAGCTTGTATCTCATATTCTTTGGATGAGCAGTGTGATTGTATTGCTGTTTTTGTTTATCAGTATAATAAAGGTTTTCAGCTCTACTTTGGAATGAAGCTTGCTATTCTGGAAGAAGCGATAATCATATACAACTAAATTTTTTGCTGCAAAGTCTGGCATGTTATTAGAAATTATATTGCCTAACATTTGAATACTGTATTTTAGGTTTTCAAAGGACATGTCAGGTCATTATGTTGTACTCTATAGCCTTGTTCTTCTATGAATACATTCAGTAACTAAAATAAAACAAAACAGAAAACTCTCAACTTCCACAAAGCTTAAGGAGATAATAGGCTATTAAGATAGTTCCAGAATCTACTAAATTATTAAATCTTAATTCAGAATCCATACATTTTAAGTAAGGACAGCTTAATATAACAGTACTAAATTTGCATTCCTTTTATTTTTTCCTAGAGTTGTTAATGATTGCGCTTCATCTGTTAACTCTTCAGACATTAAAAAACCTGTGGGAATTTTTTACTTCTGAGATTCTTTAAAACACAAACCTCATTTTTAGTTAAGTCAAACTTAGGATACATGATTGATATTGAGACAGACAGTAAACCCGCTAACATAGAGTTACATGTACATAAATGTCTTTCTCATGGTTTTGGAACCAGACTGTTCAGGTTTGGATCCATGCTCCGTACTTATACAACTGTGTGACCTTGGGCAGGTTGGTTTGTGTGCATGGCATATAGGGCATGTGTGGAATGGTAGGAAATGATACTGGAAAGATAGGCAGTAGTAAGACTAGGGTCTTGTATAGTAGGTACAAATTTGAACTGTAAGTGGGGGGGAACCACTGAAGAATTACAAGAAGGGTAAACACATCATTTAAATGGTGCTTTAAAACATTACTCTGGCATCATCTATTAACCAAGGGAAGGGTTCTAATGGATGGGAATGAAGTAGATTATGAGATTGTAACCGAAGGCCATCTGAGTAGAGATGTCCAGGAGGGTATGAAGTTTAAAATAAACTGAGTTTGAGTTCCTGTGTCTTAATTAGGAGTGAATGAGGTATAGGATAAAGTGAGTGAAAGGAGAGATGAAGATAGAGCCCTTAGGAAACTCTGAAGATGGACAAATTGTCAAGGGAAAGCAGGAGAGGATAAGGGTATGGGCAGCAAAGCAGGCACAGCTTTTGGTTTCTTAGGCTGTTTTATGACACTGGTCACTGCTGGATCCAGAGTGACCCTGCTACTATGGGAAACATCATGGCTGCACTTCTGTTCATGGCGGTGTCACCTCAGTGTCGCTGTCTGCTGAGTTCTCGCCAGTGTGGTTATACAACAATCAATATTCATCTTTATGACTACTCAAACAGATGTGATTTCTAGCCTATCAACAAATTCAGACTCCTTGTTCAGCTGTTATGGGAAAGCTCGTTAATATACATAACAAGACAAGGGCAAAAAAGTGTTACAAAGAACACAGACACTGTTTCATATGGGGTGATGCCATGTAAATATATAACAGGAAAAAAGACCTTATAATTGTTTACTGATAAGGAAAATCACTTCATAGAATATTTTTGTTTCTAAAGGAAAATATCCTAGAGCAGCAAGTGTGGGATAGATAGTTAGCAATATGAGGTTCAAAATTTAGGACAGTTGGGGTAAAAAAAAGTTTTTTTTTTTTGCTTGGTTTATATATCTGTACTTGCTTATTACTTGTCTGTCTATTTATAGCTCTGAAGATGGCTGTAGTAGATATCTATCATTCCAGGTTAAAGGAGAGACAGAGGCGGAAAAAGTAAGTATAGCAAAACCATCCTTTCTCCTTTGAGCTTTGGACTGTTGACCACATGTGCTCTGTAAGAACATTCCATTTGTGGCTTACCTTGTGACTTTGCAAAAGACACTTGCACCCTGCTGGGGCTCAGATGTCTCATCTGTCATGAAAATAATAATACCTGCCTTTTTCTTTCTTTTTTTTTTAAGCTTCCTCTCTTACCTTTTCTTGTTTTGATGATCAGTGAATACTGTGGGTATGCTGGTTTTTTTTTTTTTTTGCTTGTTTGGGGTAAACTGTTTTAACAAAAAAAGGGAAGATAAATTCAAGTTGTTATGCTTTTTGATTGTTTTTTCTTTGTTTCTTTTTGTTGTTACGCTTTTTAAAAGCATCTTTGTAACTACATTTTTTATGAGAAGTTTTTATCTAAAAACATTTAAAAGAAATTATAAACAATGTTTTAGGTTTTCTTTCTTCTTGTAAAAGAACAAAAATCACATTAGACAGAATTATGGGTCCTAGACCCTGTTGGATTACAGAGCCTTTAAGAGTTCAGAGAAGGGTCTGCACAGGGTGCGTGTGTGTGTTTATATGTCTCCATGACACAGCCGTGTCTTAGCAATAAAAATGGGAGGGACTTGGGAGACATTCCTGTGAGAACAAGACTGATATATAGTAAAACTTGCTCTTTCAAGAGAAGCTAAAAGAAAAGATAGCTTGCTCTTTGGAATTAGCTTTCATGAAATGCTAAAGAATCTCATCTCGCTGCTTTTATGAGAAGCTTTACGAATACCCTCGTATAAATTAGAGGTTCCATGCATACAACGCTACATAAATTAAATTCTATTTGCTGGGGTCTCCCTGGAGGCACAAGGGATTGAAGTCTCAGCACTATGAAGCTATCATCAGCCACTGCAGCATGAATTTGATCCCCAGCCAAGGAGCTGACCCACATGACACAGCAGACCTCTCTTATCTTACCCACTGTCCCCCTCAGCAGTATATTTCAGTAGATCTGCCTGTTCTGCTCCCTATTCTGTCTCTGGTAAATCCTCTCACCCTCCTACCTCTTGTATGTACCCCAGTTGTTGTATGTATAAATAAATAAATCTTTTTTAAAATTCTGTTTGCTTACAGTATACAAATAGAACTAGAGACTATTGTAGAACTCAAATTTTATGTTTTATGATGCCTTTGTATTAAACATTCACAGTATTTCAAATGGTTTCCAAACTTTACGTGAATGTACAGTTGTAAACGTTGACTGTGAGATTCTGGTCCCCTTTTATGGTTAACAGGTACTCTTAATTTTACCATTTCTGTAAGCTGAAGAGATAAATTTTTATGACATGTACACAGGTTCCCTTCTGTTTCTTCATAAGTGACTGCCATATAATTTTAGTAATTTATGAGTACACATTCATTCATTCAGCATGTTATTGTAAGTACTAGACCCAGAGAGGAAAATATATGATGCTTGAGAGCCTAAATTTGTGTCATTCACTGGTCAAGCAAAATTTTGTGGGGAGTGACTTCTTTAGACCTTGATATTCTATCTGACAGTGTTTAAGATATCTAATAAAAACTGCATGTAAAAGACATGGTTAAACATGGAATGATTTATAATACACAGATAATTGTGGTTTTTCTTTGTAGAATTATAAGAGACCATGGATTAATCAACCTTAGAAAGTTTCAGTGTAAGTATTAGCTATTTTCTTTATTTTACAGTTTCTTTCAACATTATTGAATAGTTTTGAACACATTTCTTATGGCAGTCATTCTTATCCAAGATGCATCTTAACATCACCTAGGAAGCGTTAAGAAATTCTGATACATGGCAAGCACCCACTAAATCAGAATCTCTGGATAGAACTAGAGCTTACAAAGTTTTCAAGGCATTTTTGATGCATGTGAGTTCTTTTTTAAAATTAGTATAGCCATTTCTCCATGAATAGTAATTATCGTTTTCTAGAACTGGATTAGGATCATGATTTGGAAATATATATTAATAAATCCTAGCCTTGATCATCAGGTTGTAAAAACATTTCATACAAAATCACCAGAGAATGATAATTTTCTTTATGGTAGTGGACAAATAGAAAATTGCATTTAACATTACATGATGATGATGATAGTAAATTTATAATAATTTTTAAGTGGATGCAGATTTTGACCTATTTTAAAAATTGAGAGAAGGGAGCTTCCTCGGTGGCGCAGGGGTCAGTCTCAGCGCTATCATGCTGTTGCCAGCCACCACAGCACTAGTTCAGTTCTCAGCCAACCAGGGAACTGACCCATGTGGTGCAGCAGACCTCTCCTGTCTTGCCTGCTGCTCCCCTCAGCAGTGTATTTCTCCCCCAACTCTGAGTTCTCCCCCAACTCTGTCTCTGGTGAATCTGCATACCTCGCTGCACCTCTAGCCTTCACCCCAGTTCTTGCATAAATGAATAAATCTTTAAAAGAAAACAGTTGAGAAGATTCACCGGAGACAGAGTAGGGAGCAGAACAGGGTAATCCACTGAAATACACTGCTGAGGGGGAGCAGCGGGCAAAACAGGAGAGGTCTACTGCTCCGTGTAGGTCACCTCCCTGCTGGTGATAGCTTCATAGTGCTGTCTTTACCCCTTTGCCACCAGGGAGGCCCCTACACCCTTTTCTTATATGCATAAATAAATGAAAATAAATCTTTTTTAAAAATAAATAAAATTGGGCGAAATCTAGACTGAGCAAAAAGGAGCCTGTACTTTTTCCCTTGTAAAAGGAAGAGTTTACTCAACAAATAAGGATGACCTAAGAAAGATCGCATTGTAATATTTATATAAAAATGTTTAAACATTTTAATGTGACAATACTCTTTCTTTGTAAAAGTAGCTAATGATTATTGTGGTGAATGTCCTAGCTAATAGAGTCATTTGAGTTGAACACTGTGCACTGTAGGGTCCCAGAGGTTAAGTGTCTTTTAGTATAATCATATAGTCATATGTTCTTTACTTTTCCATTACACATTTTTCAAATTGGTGAGAAATTTTGAAGCTGTCATTTTAATAGTTACATAACATATCATACATAAATAATAATCTTTTATTATTGGGTATGGTTACAGTTTTTTAACTATCATAAATAGTGTTGTGCTGAACCTGTTTGTGAATAAAGCCTTGTCTATATTTAGAAACTTTGTTTCAGTAGATTCCCAGAAGTGGAATTAATAGGTCAGAAACTCTTGACATATGCTGCCTGATTGCTTTCCAGAAAATGCTTATATCAACTTCCTTCCTTCTTTATTTCCTCATTGTAAGCTTTGAGTTTGCAAAAATATCTCAAGATCAAATTTCCTTTACCCTTTCTAGACAATAACTTCTCATATGCTACTAGCTATAGTAGTTGGTTCACCTGGGGTTTCCATAATAGGGTTGGTTGGGGTTTGATCTTTACTCATAGTCCATCTTGACTCTCACATAAATTTTATTCTTAGCTGGTAGACAGAGATGAGTTTAGTCTGATGATTCTGTTCCCTGTAATTTAAGTATAAGACCCAGGGGAGGCTCTGTTGCTTCTGAAAAAGAAGTCACACGGCAGCATGGTTTCAGTGGTAATGTACTGAAAGCAGACATGGAAAGCAGAGGGGTTTTTCATCAAATTTAAAATTTTCATCCAAATTCTTCTTAGAAGAAGTAAGTGTGTTTTGTTTTTGCTTGTGTGTGGTAGAATTAATCAATCTGTGGCCACCCATCAAATCAGCTTCTGGGATTTGTGGGCAGGAATGTCTCTTAAAAAGAGTCATTGGAGAAAAGCCTTGATTTAAATAAATATCTTAGTATCTTTAGAGTTAAAGTAGACAAACTAATTAATATTGACTATATGATTGAAATGACTAAGTAGCAGTTCAGAGTTCCAATTCTACTCAACAGCTTCTTTGCTGATACCTCTTCTTATTAGAAATTTGATCAGTGGTGGTCCTCAAAGTTGCTGATTTTACTACTCTCTCTATATGACGATTTACCTGCATGACAGTTACCAAAATATAACTTCATTAGTAGTAGATTAAGTTGTATTTGACTTAGAAAAACAAAATTACCCATATGGAAAATGGAGAACTTTAAGCCTCACTTGAGGAGAACTTTAAGCCTCACTTGTGTGGGAAGGACAAAGATTTAGATGGAAATATAAGAAATCACTTACATTCTCCAGGCTAATCTGCTTCTTGATGGATTATTATGTCTGCTTTTATTTTCCTGTATAAATTAATACCAGAATTTTAATACCCATTATTGTTCTTAAGGAATGCAGTATCTTCTTTCCCATCATTGCAGGAGTTCCTGCTCTTGCACATATTCAGAGACATCAAGGTGTGAGGTCACCGGGTGCTCAGCCATGCAGATGATCTCTAGTGATAGCAGCACCCCTGTGCAATGCTGTTATCATTATGATTAGTATTTTGCATTCTTAGCTTTCCTGTTTGCTTCCTGTCATGGGTAAGTTAGTCATGTGAGGCTAGGGATAATGTCCTACTGCTTCACATCTTGTAAAAGAAATGTAAAACACTCAAGGATCCTTATATTCTCTGTGACATAGTTGTATTTTACTATCTCTGTAGTAATGGAACGGCGGTATCCCAAAGAAGTCCAAGACCTATATGAAACAATGAGGCGATTTGCAAGGATTGTGGGGCCAGTGGAACATGACAAGTTCATTGAAAGCCATGCATGTAGGTGATTGTAGTGTCTTGTACAAGTGCATGTGTTTGTGTGTGTGTACACTTGCACATTTAAATAAATAGGGATGGTAACAATGTGTTTTATGTGATGTTCTCTAGATAAATAAATATTTCTCTCTTTGTTCCCCTTGGTAATCATGCAGTAAATTTGGGACTTTGGCTATAGGGAGAACAGTGGGTTTCTTTTTCCCCAGATAAATAGTAATTTAGTAGTTCTTCCTCCTCCACCCCCACTTTATATTATGGGAGTTTTTAAATATGTACAGAAGTAGAGATAATGGTAAAATGAACCCTGTGTATCTGTCACCTAGCTTCATCAGTTATCAATACAAATACATGGCCAGTCTGATTTCATCTTTCCTATCCACTCCACTCCTACTTTCAACTAGATTATCTTGAATCAAATCCTAAACGTTATCTTGTTCTAAATATTTTAGTGTTAAGGGCCTCCTTACTGGCCTAGGGACTAAGTCTCAGCGCTGTCACTGCTACAGGCTGGGTACGATCCCTGTCAAGGGAGGTGACCCACATATGGCACCATAGGCCTTTCCTGTCATGTCCGCTGTTCCCCTCAGCAATGTATTTCAGTAAATCTGCCTGTTCTGCTTCCCCATCTATCTCCGGTGAGTCCTTTCACCTCCTACACCTCTGATCTCCACCCAAATTTGTCTACGCAAATTTAATTAAAACAAAAAACAAAAAAAAACTGTCAGCATCTGTGCAGATACCTGTCTCTTAGAAAACAGAAAAGAAAAGCTAGTTTTAAAAATGGGGACAGTTGAATGACTCATGGACATCATGGTATGTCATAGTACTTCTATTATTTTGTTTTTACCTTTCTCCCTTGACATAACTATTCAGTTAGTTTGATTTTTCACCATAAAAATTGAAGTTACAAAGGCATTAAGGCCTCTACTTTAATATAATCTGGACTATGCCTTGGTGTCTGCTTTCCATCTTGAGATTTATATATTTGACCCCCAGTATTAGTCTGGGGAAGGTATTTTACCAAGGCCTTTACCCTGTTCTCATCTTGCAGATACATCTTAGAAGAATGGCATTGTAAGTGTTTATCCAATGGGCAGGTTATCCTCACCATTGGTATTCTTAATGTGGCTTATACAAGGTGACTGGTCCTTCCTGTGCATCCCTGGTTTGTATGTCACTGCAAAGAACTACAGCCCATGGATTGTCCAAACTCTTCATCCTCTGCTTCAAATCACTCAAGTTGAATATTCTTTCACATGGTAACACAAGCATTTCAGCCTGATCCTTGTGCTCAGAAGAGTCAGAAGCTTTGGTTTATAGACAACACAGTGCTCTTTTCTTCTTAAGGGAGAAAAGCTATAAAGACTACCTAGGACTTGAGCACAGAACCTTGTCTCCTTTACAAAGGAAGGACCATGTCAAGAAATATCAGAGACTTGTTTCTTAAGAGTCTACTTATGTGGCTAGAACTTTTATTTATTTTAACTTAATCTCAGTTTTTTTTTTTTGTTTTTGTTTTTGTTTTTTTTGTTGTTGTTGTTGTTGGAGGGAGAGAACTTTTAACTGAAGAGGAATAGAGCAGGAGAAACTTAAGTTATTTAAAAAACTTTATTTGTTACTGCTGTAGACAAATGAATTCAGCCATTCATTGTTAAATTTTCAAGGAGACAGTTCCAGCTGCTTTCTTCAGCTGGAGAGAACAGCCTGAAGACAGCTGGACTAGGTTTTTTTCGGCTCTTGGGTAAAATTCTAATGAGGTGTTACCAGCCATTAGGATTTCCCAAGTGGAATTGCCCTGTCGTTTATATGTGCAGAATTACTGAGGCTACTCAACAGCAGGAATGCTTATTGATGTTGATTTTGTTTTTCCAATTTTTCTTCTTTGTTCCTTTTGGGGAAAACAGTGGAATTTGAACTCCGAAGGGAAATCAGGAGGCTCCAGGAATACAGGACAGCAGGCATTACCAATTTCTGTAGTAAGTATACTTCTGCGATTGCCTTCAAAAACAGACTTGAAGTCTTTGTTTGAGGTGTTGTTGATTTTTTTATATGAACTTTATTTTTTTAGAATGAGCTTTTAATATTTCCAGTAAAGTTTTACCTACTTAATACTTAGCAATACCATGTGAAGTATCTGAGGTGAAATTATAATGCAAAGAAAACAGAAATGCAGATTTAGATTTAGGATTCTATTGTGGCCTCTGAAGAATTTTTCATTCCAGTGTTTAGTCTCAACTTTAACAATTTCTTGATGCATGGTCTGATTATTCTTAACCAAGCTTGCATCACAATTACTGCAAGTGGTGATAATGAATAATAGCAGCTATCAGCTCACAGCACTTTACCATAACCCAGACCTACACTAAATATTTCACTAGGATCATGTCATTTAATTATAACAAACTTAGGGTCTAGGTATTGTTACTTTAATGGAGACACTAGGTTTAAAGTGATTAAAGAGGTAACAGGGCCAAGTCAAGAGAGAAGACAGTGTGTTACAGTAGGTAAGAGCTTGCCGCCTAGACTTGGCTCTCCTGTTTAGATTTTGGCTCTCCTGTTTACCAGAGCTGTGATTCTGTTCCAGGGTCAGTTTTCCAAGTCTGTTACAGTTAGCATGAAGATTAAATTAGAGATAGGGGTAGTGCATGAAAACATAGCCCAGTACCTGGCACACAGTAAATCTCTCTTGGCAGTTTCTGTTGCTTTGTTGTTATTGTTGGAATGATCTTTAGCTTTCCTTCCTTCCTGTTGACTAAAAGCTACTATCTCCTGCCCACAAGCTGTAGGGTATGCTTAGCATAGCCCTGTGGGTATAGGTTCAGCCTATTTTTTTTTTTTTATAACAAAAGCTGTTTCTGAGATGAAACTTTGTGTGGAGTCCTCATCTATAAGTTAGACAAAAGTAGAACTAATTTGGTTGATGTCTAATAGTTCAGATTATATGTAGAGCCCAGGACTACTGGCATGTGGAGGAGGTCCCTGTGCTGTTCACAGTAACCCTTGAGATATTTTCCTGGTGCTCTTGGGTTCTATAGAATGGAGTTTGAGACCTCTGGTGTGGTATTTTGGAATCTTCATATCTGTAACATGTAGGAAAAATGTCATGCAACTTCTTTTTAATAAGATGCATATAAAAACTGACCTCCAGTCTGGGCTACCTGACATTGGTTCAGTACCTCTGAAGAGGGGAGACAGGAACAGTACTGCTCAATGAAGACTTCTTTTTTATTTATTTGTTTATTACATTTTAAAGGACAGGCTTATTAGGAAAAGGAGAAAGCTAGAGAGGTCATAGTCACAGGAGAGCTGCCTATTTGTAATTCTAATTGGTATTTAAAAACAAGTGTACACATTAGCACTCGTGTGACTTTGGAAAATATATAAATTGAAAAATGGTATTAGGAAGCAAGTATGTCAATGTCAAAAATCACCTTTTGGTGGTGGAAATATGAGTGACTTTCTTTGTGCTTTTCTGTTTAGGTTTTTTTTTTTCCCTCTCCCCACATTTCTTAAAGGCATAAAGAAATAATTTGCATGTCAAGAACAGGATTTTTTTAAACTGGAGAGGAATATACTTTACTTTTGGAAAAATAATGTGGCCGCAGTTTTGCAGAAGAAACCAAAATAAAAAACTGTCCGTTAGTCAGGTGGGACTGTCCTCATAGCCGTTGTGTCTTTGACACCCCCAGGTGCCAGAACCTACGATCACCTCAAGAAGACACGAGAGGAAGAGCGCCTTAAACGCACCATGCTCTCCGAAGTTCTGCAGTACATCCAGGACAGCAGCGCCTGCCAGCAGTGGCTCCGCCGGCAAGCTGACATGTGGGTGATCAGCTCGGCGTGAGCAGGCATCCTCTTGGGGTCTCCAGCCTTTCCATGCATTTCCAGAAACCCCTACCCTACTGGGCAAAGTGAGATAATTAGACATGAAGAAGGATTCAGAAATTTTAGCACTTTGTCTCAGAAGTAGTGTGGTATTGACAGTTTTAAGAAACATACTGGCCACGTTTTTGCCTCTTTGATCTTTTAAAATTAGTACATTCCCTCCACTTCCCACCTAAACCTTCGCTCTGCCTTCATATCTGTTGGCATGGTTTTCACTGCAGAGTCATGTTCCTGTGCTTTCTCTGTGAATGGGTCATGTGGCGTTTCAAGCTAAGGGGTCTGAACAAATCCAGGCAATTTTTTTCACCTTTAGAACAGCTTTTCTTTCCTGGTTAGTATGGGGACCTTTTATAAAGCAAAGTTGTTTATTCTATCCCTTCAAACTAATCAACCTAATAAATGCGGGCTTTTGCAAATTGCCTTTTTTTGATGTGACATACTTTTAAATTCTTCTTTTTCATTGTAGTGATTCTGGCCTGAGTCCATCCATTCCAATGGCTTCAAATTCAGGTAATTTTTTTCAAGCTGGAGCAAGTCTTGATTCAAGTTTTCATTCTAGAGATTCTGACACAACAACTTGGAGAGCAGGGTGTTTAGAGTCATGATAATTAAGTGGTAGCCCCACTTACAAACATCAACAAGTTCTTAACATATTCATGGCCAGACAGGGGCTATCCTCATTTAGAGTGCAGAGAGGTAAAGAAAGAGCTCTAGAGAGGTGTTTTCTTTTTTAGTGTGTGTGTTTTCTTTTTTTTAACTAATACTTGGGCAGTAAGTTCACTATGGTTGTACCTACTACAAAGTTTGAAATTTTTCTCACAGGAGATAAATTAAAAAGACTTTGTAACCTGTATGAACCAAGGGACATGTTACATCCAGAAACCAAAATCTCCTTCTAAGTTGGAGACTTAAGATTTCTCTTAACTTTACCTCTTTGAATGTATTTTATTTTGAGGTTAATAGAACCAAGTTAAGTCATACGCTATTTGACCACTCTTGGTGTGTGATAGTCAGTGGCTGGTAATTTGGGGCAGTTTTTAGTTTTTGAGCTCTGACCAAGAGGATCCCATTCAGAATTCTGTCTTTCCACTCAGAATTTGGATAGGACTCACAAAATTTTTTCTCTTTTGCTTTTATTCTTCTATATCAAATGATTATTTCTTAACAAAGAAAAAAAAAGTCTTTTAGGGAATAGCCTAGGCAGCTAGATCTAAGTTTTATTTTGTAACTTTCTTATACTCCCTCAAGCTAGCACCTTGATATTGGCTAACTGAAGGAAGGAACAATGCAGCTTTGGGATTTGTGTTTTCTGAACTATCTGCACTCACTCTTTGTTGCTTCCTACCTGCTGTTAGCCTTCCTGTATTTAGGTTGAGGAGATCCCTTATTCTCTTCATGTTCTGGGTTGTTTGTAAGGCAGTGAAGTCAAAAGTCTGGATCATTGACTGTATCCTGGCCTCTAGTGAGGCACTCAGTGACTGTAGTCTCCTTTTTGAACACTTGGTGAGGCTGTGTTTTTGAGCAGTTGGTGTGAGATGGTTGTGGAGATGCCTTTATCCCTCTTGTTAATATTATAGAGTAACTGGTTTTCCAGCAAAACAGCCTATAATAGATAGGCCTTCCCTTTTCACCACTTAAAAGGCAGTCCCTATAACACTTGTTAATGTATTAGTCAACATTTCCTTTGTTTCACTCAGTCTGTCCATGCCCAATTGAATGCAAACCCCAAATATCCATTCAAAATAAAACCATAGTACATTTCATGTTGAGCTTCCCATCTTCGTTGGTGATCTCTGCTTGGGTTTGTTTGTGAGGTATGGGAGTTCACCTTAGCCCCTGCTGTGCTATGTGATGGCTCATTGTTTCTCTGTGCAGGTCTCTCAGGTAAACAGGGCTACTCTGGATGGAGCAGATATTCTCTCACAGTGAATAAAAAGGGCCTTTTGCTACTCTAACAGTCTGCCTTTGATGTGATGGCAAATGGTACTTGGTTAATTACCATGTTTGCCTTGTGCTGCTGGCAGAGTAGCAGGGTTGGGAAATGTCTCTCCTGCAGAGTTGTTATTTCCATTCATCAGTTGTCAAGGCAGGCAGTATATGACCTTTCTTAACTAGATGACATCTGGCTTTAGATTTTAGAGTCTTCTGCTTGCTTAGGAAGAAATACGTGGTATCTGCTGTGGTAAGTACTCATTTGATGCTGAAGTATGTGTGATTGTATGTGTATTTTAGCAGATCAAAATAAGTTACCATCATTTTCACATGAATATTAGGGTTGTCGTCTAAACTGAGCTTCAAGGTGATGTGGGTATAGCTCCTGCAGCTGATAGGATCATCCTGTGCCTACTTGGCCTAGTTGCAGTGAACTTGAACCTGAGGAATTGTGGCTTCATTGAAATAGATGTCCTTTTTTATCTGTGTCTATAGGAAGACGAAGTGCACCACCCTTGAACCTCACTGGCCTCCCTGGCACAGAGAAGCTGAATGAAAAAGAAAAGGAGGTAACAAAGAAGGGGAGCTAGAGAAAAGAGTGGGAACTGATACTCATTGAATTGTAACTAAGACATGTTACAGGATCAAGCTCATTTTGTTCTAACATGCAAGCGCAGAGCACGGCTCAGCTCTCCTGTAGAGCATAGCGCTAACCTCACTGTTTTCAAAGACCACCTTCCTCCTCATCCTGCCACCGTTAGTCTTCTGAGAGAATATGTGCTCTGTAAATCTAAATAATAGCAGCTCTTACTTAATGACTGATGTACCAGTTCTTACACTGAGTGCTTTAGGTGAATGAAATTATTTTTTTATAAATCAAAAAAAGGGTAATCTTTTAGTAGTATTGTCACTTTGAGAAGTTCTGCAGTTAGTCCGACAGTATAAGGAGCACTTGAAAGAGTGTTGGAATTGTCTCCATCATAGAAGCATAAATGAGTTTATTACATATATAGTTACACACAAGATTTTAAAATGCCATGACCTACTTTTCCATTTTAATCATTAGACTTACCTTCACATTCATTTTGGCCTTTTTCTGAAACTTAAATGCAACCTCTAGAGAATCATCAAGGATTTTCAGGAGAATGTGCCATAGCTCTGAAGTCCATTCCAAAGAGGAAATCCCATTTTGTTCTCATGTCTTCTTTTTATATTCCCAAGATTGTCACCCATGGTGTATTATCAGTTCTGGTTAGATTGCAGAGGAGTCAGGGCACAATACTCCCACTAAGTACAGTAACGACTAGTTGGGAGTAGAGGGAAGTGTATTGTTGTTATCTCAGCACTACTGAAGGTCACAGCCATTCCAGTTCAAGTATGGAATGGCCCAGAGTCTTAAGGTTTTTCCTTACCCATAACATGGTGACTTCAGACTGCTCATTGAACTGGAATTGAGCCAGCTTTCTAGATTTTTAGCAGCAAAGGTGGCCTTTTCTTAGCAAGATCTCTTTGTCTCATTTCTATTTAATGTAATGCATGCAATCACAAAAGCAAGGACTGCTACTTTGTGCCAATATTAAAAATTACGTCAGCTTGAGAATGTACAATCTGCCCTAACATCACTACCACCAGCACCACCACACAGACACAGAAACACACACACACACATGCTGCCCTGTGGTTCTCCTGACTGGGTATGTTGGAATGTGCTGGCCTGGCCCTCAAGACTCATATTTGTATTGCGTGAAGACTGAGGTGAGACAGCCAGCAGGTGCTCTTAGTTCTCAGCATCATTCCCTGCCTTTCTCTTCCTGAGTGTCTTTCTTTAGGGAGGGAGTCTTCTCTCTAAAGAGGAGACTAAATGGAATGCAGTCTAGCTACTCAACAGCTCCTATAAATAGTTGGAGGTTGATGTCACTTTTTAAATTTAATTTTGGCTATACCTGTTGGATTAAATTATGAGAATGACAGATGTTAATGTTTATTAAATCTGCCGTGTCTTGCAGCTCTGTCAGATGGTGAGGTTGGTCCCGGGCGCCTACTTAGAATACAAATCTGCTTTATTGAATGAATGTAACAAGCAAGGAGGCTTGAGACTGGCACAGGCAAGAGCACTCATCAAAATAGACGTGAACAAAACCCGGAAAATCTATGATTTCCTCATCCGAGAAGGACACATCACAAAAGCCTGAGGCTCCGTGGGCTTGGGATCAGAAGTCACAAGTTTGGAATGTGGTGGGCCAAAAGACAGTAGAAGCATTCTGGAGAGTCAGTTTTGAGTTTAATTCTCATTGTAAAAAGAGGAGAACAAAGGAAACCTTAAGTTGTATTGATGTCTACTTCTCCACTCTGTTTCAAAACACTCCTCTGGTATTGTGCTGCAGTTCTGTGCTAGATTAGCTATTATTAATTGTGAGTGGGCATTCATTCCTAACACCTCTTGTAAGTAAAACAAGAACTGTAGTATCTCACGTCACAGTGTTGGTAGAAATAGAACTAAACCACAATCTTAGTCCCAGGAATCCAGCTCAGACCCTTGCACTTGGGAGGTTGTTTTTCTGGCTATTTTGCCTTCAAACATTTCAGACAGGTTTAAAATAAAGAGCATGAGAAGGCTTCCTTTTTCTGTCTAAGGATTTTTTAAACCAACAACTTAGGTTTTTGAGCCAGTGGGAGAAAAACCACCCTGCACCCGCCAGGGTCTTGTCCCAAGCTGCATTTTTATCTTTAATGTCTGGTTTTGTACTTCATAGTCTGACTATCTAATCTTCAGTAGACTTTTGAGGAGGTGGCACCGGATGTAAAATGTCTCTGTTATTTTTAGAATTAATGGATTAAAATGTTTTGCTGTTTAATTTGTGGTATGTCAAATATTCTTGTAACTAAAGCACACGTAGGGCGTTGGATGCCCATCATGCTGCATCGTCTGCTAACGTGTGTCCTGGACTCACCCTGTTGTTACCCTGGGTTTCCCAGGCTACCGAGCTCCTGAGGATGGAGATGATGCAACTAACCTCATCTTTGCTTGGATTGAGACCTGAACACTAATTTCTCAATGGTGAAAGGTTAGCCAGCAATAAAAGCTACTTTTAAAACAGCAGTAAAGCAGCTTCATAAATGGGACTCACTAGAGTCCCATTATGAGGGTGAGTAACCCTAACACATCTGAGACTTTGTCCTCAGACCTTTCAGCAGAGTAAGAAGCCAAACTCATAGTCATGGCCAACCCAGTTCTGTTAGAAGCAAAGTTGTATGTAGGTACAACTTCAGAATTTGAATAATTTGCATACAGCAGCTGACTGATTCCTTCAACACTCAAAACATCTAATTTTAATATGTGTTTTGTTGAAAACATCTCTCAAACTGCTGATGTAAGCCTGAACTTGTGGGTAGACCTCATCGAGGTGGTGGAAATTGAAAAGGAATCTCTTAGGATCAGAGGAAATTAAGATAAAGGACTCTAATCTTTCAAAGGATGGCTTGTGGAAATGGTTCTTTTCTGTGCATAGTCATTTCTTTTAGAAAATGTATTCCACTGCCACCAATTACCCCAAATTACTTATAAAGGTGTTGTGTCTTATCCCTAAGAGGCAATTGCTGTTTTAAAAATTGGGGATGCATTAGACATCATGTCAGGAGGCATCTGTTGTAGTCCAAAGAGTCCTTGATTGAGGAAGGATTTCTGCAAGAGGAGATGGTAATATCAAGAGGAGAAGAAAATGCAGATGGAAGTGAGAGATTGTTACAGACATAGTGGGTAGGAAGGGTGTGGAGGCAGCAGTGGGAGTGAGGGAAATGGGGACATGATTTCGTTGGCTAGCACACAAGGGGCAGCTGTGTTAGTTAGGAGTGGGAGGATGGTAGGACAGTCTGATAGAAACCTTGGAACCAGTTGAACTTGGAAAAACTAATGGGGCGTCAATAGATTTGATGAGAGGAAATGGCATGGTTGAAAATAGTGACAGAAAAATGAGGCTGTAATTTCAATTGACTGGGTTTTAGAAAGTAGGATTCAATTGTTTTGGTGTACTCAGCTTCACAGAATTTAGACCTAGGATGCCTATTGGGTCTCTTGATCAAGTCATATTCTTGAATACTGTTGAAAGGAGTTGCTCAGTCACTCCTTTTGCGTTTACAACAGAAAAAAGAACTCGCTAATACTGATATGGGTGGTTTTAGTACGTTTTTCTACATTCTTATCACCAGGGGAAGTCTTTGGTACTAAAAATCCAGAGCTAGAAAGGGCCTTTCAAAAACTAGTCCATCCTTCCGGTTTGCTACTAGAGATGGTTGGCCATAATCCACCAATACCAATAGAAGTTACTCTTCTCCCATCTCAGAAGGGAGAGTGTTTACTCTGAAATTCTGTAACATGAATAAATATCTTTTAACGTTAGAAACTCTTACTTCAATTTAATGTTAAAGTTTTCAGCTGGGGGGCCCTCCCTGGTGTCACAGTGGGTTGAAGCTCAGCACTGCAAGCCAGCCATAGCTGCTTCAGTGCCAATTCGATCCCCAGCTCCAGAGGTGACTCACATGGTGCAGCAGACCTCTCCTGTCTCACCCACTGATCCCCTCAGCAGTGTGCTTTGTCTATCTGCTTGTTCTGCTCCCCACTGTTTCTGGCAAATCCTCTTGCCGCCCCTGCACCTCTGGCCTGTACCCCATTTCTATATGCATAAATAAATAAAATCTTTAAAAAAAATAGTTTTTGGCTGGAGTTTTACACATATCCTTTGCTGACAGTGGTGGGAAATGCAAAACAAGTTCCTTTCTGTGTACTGACTCCTTCCTGTACTCAAAGATCTAGACTGACTCTCATGAGACTAAATATTCAGAGCGTATCCCTTCTTAGCTCCAATTTTCATCCTTTCATTATTTACACACATACCCCCTACCCTCTATTTTAAAAAATCTAAACTCAATTAGCCAGTCCTTACAGAGTGATAACAGACTTGCCAGGTTTGAGTAATAAAATTCATTTACAGTTACCTGGAAAGAGGGGAGACCAGTGACATCAATAAACAAAACTCCATTTGCTAAGTCATTCTAGTTTTATGAAATGCATAGATATGTAATAGAACTAAAGTCTCCAGTCAGAAGAATGAGTGACCTAAATTACATAGAGAGGCTTGGAAAAACTCATCCATACCTCTTCCAAAACACTTTCCCACTGGCCTTGCCCAGAGGAGTGGAATCTGTGTTCAAAACATTCTGGAACACAGTCCGGTCTCCCCCCACCCCATCCATTTTCTAGGATGTCTTTGTGGGTCCACCTTTTAAACTTTTCCACATCTTAGGTACCTGAATTTTTGCTTGAATTTCTAAAAGTTAAGTTTGATTCAAGAGATACTGACCTGGAAGCTTTGCTTTCTAGTGTGCTGAGCCAGATCCAGTTAACCTCCCTGATCTGCCAGAAAAGACCTCTCATATACAGCAAAGTTCTGCCAAGTCTGTGGCCTTGTGAGCAGTACCCTAGCTAAGTCAGGCTTTCTCTTCAATAACCAGTCTTTCCGCATGACATGTAAATAGAATTGAATGGGCCCTTGGTGCCAGCAAGGTCAGAGCAGCCGGGTTAGGATGGAAGTGGTCGTGCGGACATAGGCACTTAATTTGATAGAACAATAAAGAAGAGCATTTAACTAGGGACTGTTTTGGAACCAAAGTAGCCTATCTATGAAATGTGCATCAGAACCAAGTGTGCTGCTCTGGTGGTGGGGAGTGGGCGGTGCAGGGAGGGGCTGGGATGACAGGTGAACGATTTCTGAGAGAAACGGGTAGAAAGCCAGTTTCTCTAGCTAATGGATGTTCTTCCTCTCTTCAGTATTTGCCTGCTGCCTTGGCTTCCATCAGCTGCAGCATGCTAAGATGAAAGTTTCAGCTGCCCTTTGATTTGACTGACCAGGCTAACAAATCAAGAGACAGGTATTTAAGGGGAGGGTGAATGTCATGCATCTGACAAAAAAATACCTTTGTCTCTGGGGAGTTGCTCACTTTATGTTGTGCATTGGCCCTCTCCCCTGTCAGGGTAGGAATAGGATGTTGAGATAAGAATATAAACAGTGGACATTAAAGGTTTAAAACCCAAACAGCTACAAAAATTTGCTGCAACAGATGTAGTCTTGATGGCTACTGTACCCCTTGGGTTTCCCCTGGAGCTTGCAAGTCCTAGAGTTAACCGTTCCAGTCCAGAACTGTATTTGTCTTAAGTCTGATGTACTTACTTTCAACCCAGTATCATGGGGTGAATTTCTGTAGCACCAGACTAAACATTTGGTTGAGTTAATCATTCTTCAGCTAATACTTCTTCAGCTTGCTCCTAGGTGCCCCCAAAGGTCTTTTATGGCAGAAAACTTCCAGGTGACTTGCTAATAATCTCAAGTCCAGAGTTAGGTTGAACAGAAGTAGCATCTTGGGAAGTATGAAAAAGAATGGATCAACACTTCCTTTTTTAAAATTTTACCAGTTACATTTAAGAAGGCAGGCATTTTGTCCCTGTATGCATTTTGCAACCTTCTGCTCTCAAAATTGAATGCATACTTCTGAGCAGTGTCAGGGCCACTTCTGTAGGTATATAGCAAAGTAGGAGGGCACAATTAACCTACCCTGTGTTTGTAGAGCATCACCCCTGAACACTGGTGAGAGCTGACATTTCCCCAGGAAAGTATTTTTTTATATCTTTTACATCATTGTATATACCCCATAAAATTCCTACCACCAGTTCACCCATGAGCTATCACCACAGTCCCTTGTGTTTTTTTAAGTTTTATTTATGCATATAAGAGCTGGGGTACAGGCTAGAGGGGTCACCAGAGAGACTGGGGAGAACAGGTAGATTGAAATACAGTGCTGAGGGAGCAGCGGGCAGGTCAGGAAAGGTCTGCCACGCCATGTGGGTCACCCCCTGGCTGGGGATCGGACAGTGGCATAGCTTTTTAGCACTGTACTTTAACCTGTTGCGCCACCAGGGAGGGCCCTCATGTGCTCTTTACTCCCCTGTTTTGATCTCTTTCTCCCCCTCTCTGACAGAACATCTCTGATTTATGGTTGCCGGCTAATTTTGTTGTTGTTTTATTATTGTTGTTATTTTTTTCCTGACCCCTTATTTGGTTCTCCTGTGTTCCTTCTCTAAGTGAAACCATCTCATATTTTTCTTTTTCCTTCTGGCTTATTTCATGATCATGATTCCTCCTAGCTTTGTCCATATTGCTGCGTATGGCATGAGTTTATTTTTTTGATTGGAATGGAATAGTATTCCATTGTGTACATATGTACCACATCTTCTTGATCCTGTCATGTATTATTGGGCATTTGGGTTGAAGAAACCAACACTTTCTTAAAGCAAAAATGCTCCAATGCTGTGATCTTAGCACCCTTTTTAGTGATCTGACAGCTAAGGACAACTCAGGACACTTGTAATGATTTTCTCTTCTTGGAGAGCTTCCTGCCAAGTACTCCTTCCCTGAAATTGTTTATAATCACCTGAACTTCGCTTTTCTCCAATGAAACGATAGCCACTGATTCAGTAGAGTAGGGCCTTGTGGAAATGCACGTAAAGGTCAGACACTCGAGGATGCTCATGCTGAGCTCATCACCCACATGTCAGATTTCTCCCTTTATCGCCCTTCCTTCAGGGAATTTACTTAAAATCCATTTTTTAAAAAGCTATTTTAAGAAATAGTAAATGAAGGGGACCTTCAATGTGGAGCTTAATTTTAATGTCTCCTATAAAGAGGTATTTTGAATTGAGGTTAAGTAATGATTTTATTTCAACTTCAAATTTAGGACATTGAGGTGAAAAGGGCAATTTTCAGGGTAATTGAGCTGCTTTCCAAAAAAATATTGGAAAGGAG